CAAAAAAGCTATTTGAGCTACTTGTATTGTAATATTTTTGATTCACATGCATTCTCCCAAATATATTTCTGTAGAGGGTCTACTGTTAGTCTCAAATGCAAGTAAATTCTTATGCTGCCCAAGATAACTAGCATTGCCTCCCTGCTGTATTTTCCAATCCACATCAGCCTCTTTACTTCACTTTAATGTGGAAAAAAAAACCCTACTAACAAGGGATGACATTTTTCAAGGTAAACTCATAACTCTTATTGGTGGTAACTCCATCACTGATCACCACAGCTGGCCAATCAACACTGTTTTTCCCTTCAACTCTGATAAATCCTGAGCTCTGCACTCTTTAAAAACATCTGTAGCCATGGCATTGATTCATCATTAGAACAAAATTAGAGAATGCAGGAGGACCTCTTTGTCTGTTATCTTGATTTAAATTAAAGCTTAATGTAAAAGTCTGTTTGCAGAGATACTCAGTTATTTCCCCCCTACCTCACTGGGCGTGTTTGCAAATGAAAGACTCCAAAGTGTGGTGCCTTTTGAAGAAGGGAGGAGAGACAGACAAGCTATTTAATACTCATAGCAACAGAATGAACGGAATAAGTTAGAACTTTAAGCATAAAGAAAAAAAAAAAGAAGCAGCAGCAAATTCAATGACTTAAGAGTTTTAACTTTGTAGGTGATATCCACAAATGTACGCCCACTAATTACGGTAGGCTCGTTATGATCATTCAACACCATATATGCACAAATGTCTCCTGCTGGTATAGCCTTACATGTCAGGCTGGAATTAGAAAATAAATCCAATTTTGTCTCTTTATTTTGCTAGCAGTCGAGCTAGTTGGATAGCTTTGCTCTGTGTTTGAGCCACACAGTACACAAACATGGAGACTGGACAGTGCCACCTTTGCATGACTTGTCCCAGCACAAGTGGTTTCACTTACTGGCAATCTCACAGGAGGGCAACAAGACCGATTCAGAAGATTGCCCAACCCTACCATATTCATACAGTGGAGACTTGTCAATCACAATGTAGGCCCACTCTAAAGGATACCCTGCGTTACTGTACTTTTTCACTATCAACTGAAATTATAAAGTAATAAACATAACAATAATAGATCAACTGAGCAGTAGGGTGGTTTCCATTTTCATTTGTAAACTCCTACTTCTACAAATGGACATCCAGATGAGTTACCTGGTCATGAGAAAGAATGCATGTTAAAGGAATCAGTGTGTCTGTCCTTTATATTGATTGATTAATTGATTGATCATACTTTATTAATCCCGAGGGAAATGGTAAATGGTTATGGAGTCCATGGTCCATTCTCAGGGCTATGTGCTCATTCTAAAGTCAAATTTCATGGGACTTTGTTCATGCTGGAAGACTCCACTAAGGCAGAAACAATTTAATATGGGGACCAATCTGAATTGCTTTCTTAAAAATTGTGAAATGGGACATTTGCCTTGGTGGAGGATGTGCTTTGAAAGTGCCCTTCTAGAGGTTTTTTGAGTTAGTGTGTGCTGTGGTTGTTCTGAGTAATGATGTGGTGCTCTCTGAATCAGAGATGGCACAGCAGGTCAGACACCAGGCAGTGAAGTGGAACTGAACTGTGCAAAACAAGCAAGCCGGATGATGCCATTCATTAATGGGAACATCGGTGCAAACTGAAGAGTGGAGCCGAGAGGAGGTCCCTTAGGATGCAACAGAGAGAGAGAGAGAGAGAGAGAGAGAGAGAGAGAGAGAGAGAGAGAGAGAGAGAGAGAGAGAGAGAGAGAGAGAGAGAGAGAG